TTCACACATTTTTCACACCCTTTGTCAGGACAGATCTCACTGAAAGACCCCACACTCTATTGGATTCACTGTGTTGAACAAAAGGAAAACATCTATTCACAGCTGATAGAAAGTACTTGCATAATTATGAATCTCTAATGCACCTGTGTGAAACTCGTTTGCACAACTCTTCAGTCAGCAATCAGTCCTCATCCCTCTACAAAAGATGCCACCTCTGTCCTGCTATTTGCAAGTATGGAGCAAAGAGACCAAAGGCATGGAAGCAGAGTAAGAGAGCGGGCAGACGGCCAGAGAAAGAGGCGTTTGCATGCATGGAGGAGCTGCATTACTGTAAAAGAATGACAACAGATAAGTGACAATGTTACTGTAAACTACTGTGTATGTCAGCTTTACTGTATTGCCAGAACAAACTGTGTCTACAGTAATGCAGATGTTTCATCAGTCCCATTTATGTGTTTGACATAATGTCAATTTTGATATGATTTGTTATTGTAATGTAGCAGTGTCCAGTGTTTCCCAGACATTGAGTTATTTGTGGCGGCCCGTCACAAAATCAAAACTGACCGCCACGAATAGATTTTCCAAAAGGATTCTACTTCGTTGAATAAACTGAGCACTGCACGTTTCAAAATTATGCAGCGCTGGTGTTTTTATATGAATGTATAATTGAAAAGAACCGACCGTCTTCAGAAAAGCTTTGATGTCATTTTCATCTCGTCTTTCCTAGCGTTTGTGAGCACAGCGACCTCTATTGCTGACACTTAAATTAATTGTTTTGCCACTTTTGCACTTGCTATTAATGTATTTTGAATGCAAAGGGCCCTTTTTTTTTTTTCAAAAAAATAATGTTTATTTGTTATGCATGTTATGTAGCCTATGTTTATTAAAAACAAGTTTTGTAATAACCAATTGTTCCGGTCCGCACCTTTGACACTGATGAAAATTAGATTTGGACCTTTGAATGTAAACTTTGAGAACCCCTGTCCTAAGCCCTTGATCACTTAGAATCAGCTATGGAGTTGGTTTATTGTTTACATTTTTTCCCTTATGAATTTGTTTGGTGCAGCATTCTATGTATATAGGTATGTTTGGGTTGTCTAAAAGTGGAGTGGAACGCAGCCCTGGAGTGGAGACCACAGTTCCCGAAGGTCGTTCATTAACAGGTAGATGCATTACAACCCAGCAGGTAAATCGTCATATAGAATATTTAGCAGTTTGTCACACTTTAATTCTTGTAATTAAGTATATTTCCCATTATAATCACTTGTCTTGATACTAGTAATCTATAACATATAATATTTTATTAAAACCATATTAATAGTAGGCCTATAAATTGTTTAAAAATAATATAAATTTTCTAAATGAGTCGTTTATTTGTATATAATATAGATTAATGCTGTAAAATATTAAAATAAATGTCTAATACTTATAGGGGAGAGTGGGGTAAGATTAGCCATTTTTTACTTATGTGGTCCTCAAGGGAAAAATGACACAGAAATACAAAGAAAGTATGTATCCTATCCTAATGAAAGTATTCCTATCATTTTAAATGATCAGAATGTAT